TGATGCCATGTCGTGTGCCTAGGTGGCCGAATGTGGTGTGGCATGGTGGGCCTTGACTGTGCGTGTTTATGATGCACTAATTACTTGATTTATATGTACCGTGCCGAATTATGCTTAATTAAATATTTGGGCGTGCCGATGCAATGTTGATTGAGCATGTTATGGCGTTGTGTGAGCTTATCTTGGCATGATTGAATTATGTGCCTGAGTTGAACTTGGATGCTCATTGTGCCTCGTGTGATTGCCCGAGTGCAGAATTACACTGCCACGCATTTCATATGCTGAGAATGAGCATGAGACGGAATTGTGCGAGTATGCGTGCCTGACATAAGCATGTGATCACCTAAAATACCCTAATGCGTTTTACGCGGGGTTCAGATAAAACTGGATGTGTGGATGTGTGATCACTAAGGGCCCTGATGCGTTTTACGCGGGGTCGATTCCGTCCTGATGCAATTATGCGGGACGATGCCCGATATGTCCGGAAGACGGCCAGCCTAATGCGTTTACGCCGGTTTTGGTCCGTAAGGATATCGGTGTTGTGCCTGATGCGTTTACTTGGGCTAGAGACACCGGGCCGGATGCGCTTTGCGCGGGCCGTGAAGTGTTGTTGGCCGAAGCGTTTTTACGCGGGTCGGTCCCGAAGCATTTTTACGCGGGTCGAAATCTAATTGAGAAAGGAGCCGTATGCCAGAGTGCATTTTTTAGCCAAATTATGAGCATGGCAAATGTGTGCCAGAGTGTGTTGGCCATTGTGTGTATCGGTGACTTGTATGTGAGGCAGGCACTAACGAGTATGAGCATGCGTATGGCGTACGTGTGACCAGTGTGTTCGCGTATGTGCCATGAATATTATTATGAAATGCCTAACCTGCAGGGTCGATTGTATGCTCGATCTGGGCCCGAGGATCTAGGTCAATTGGTTGGCAATTATTATATGCTGTGTGTATTATTTGCCTGTGAGGAGGTGCATGTTAGCCTAGTTTAGGTTTAGGGGTTTTTACTCGCTGAGATTCGTCTCATTGTTGTATAAACCCATCTTTTCAGACCCCCGGCCCTGAAGATGGCAGAGGCACCAGTGCGTTTTGGGATCCCCACCATATAGAGAAGACGATGTCGGTATACCCTTTAGGTAACGGGGAGATGTACATTAGGTATTATACCTTGGTATGGGTCGACGTGGGGGAGACGCATTTTGAGACCCATGAGTATGTTGCGTGGTGTTAGAGAGATTATACTGGGGAGTATGGGCCTCTTAGGTCTTTTGAGGTCCCGTACAACGGACAGGGTGTGAATGACCCTCAGTGTCCTGATGGAGATGTGGTGGACCCCGGTACTTCTGCCAAGGAGAGTTCGAGTTCTTATGGCGATCCTGTTGTATATGAGGTTGACGAGTTTGATCCGATGGACATGGAGCCAGCTGACTGGGATGTAGATCCTGAGCCGATGGATTCAGAGGAGGAGCCGGAGCCCATAGAGGAGGATCCTGTGCCCGAGGCCGAGCCTGAGGACATGGACGCAGAGGAGGAGGCCGCGGAGGCTGAGTCCGAGCTGGACTCATTAGATTCCGAGGTGGAGCTGTCTGATAGCTCTTCATCTTCTGAGTCTTCTAGTTCTGACCCGGATTAGGTCCCCTAGGTTAGCCTCAGCTTTAGATAGATCGGGCTATACCTTTTTGATCGAAGCCCAGTCTTAGTTAGTCGTCTAACCCCGAGCCACTTACCCTTTTTGACCTTAGTGGCCGTTGACCTATATTTGGCTTGTTGTATGTTTTGGTTGTAAATGGATATTGTATATATTTCCGGGGTAATGTAAATCTATGTTTTTAATCTGACTGGTTTTCGTTGTTGTGCTATCCCTGGTCATGTTGTTTATTGTACGGGTGTATATATATTTATATACGTTGATTCCGCATGTGTAATGATCTCTGTGTTGGGCGTTGGATCGGCGACGCGTCTTGGGACGTCGCACCAAATTCGACCTTAGCGAGGGATGTTGCGCGTCGTAGGGTTCGGGGCGTGACACTAATGACCGTTATTAACACGGAGACTAAAAAAGTAGACTAACACATTGAAAAACATACCTAGTAATATCATAGAAGTAGCACGACCCGTTACTAATGCGCGCATGAGAATTTCTTCACGAGCTCGTTCAAACATTGATTGCTCGGCTAATTAATGACGACTGTTAACCATAAGAACCGAACCGTACTGTACCAACCTATTATGCTTAACGAACTTTCTACTATGTGCTGACCAACAAGTTTATTATTTCGTTATAAATGCCTTGTACTAATCTTTTATATCTAAATGTATTTGGCAATCCCGCCAAAATTCGCGTTGGCATGGGCTAAAACCACCAGACCCATGATCGAGTCTAATCCTTAAACCAGAGGAGTTGAAATTAATTGTTCCGTCAATTATCGACCTAAGTCTAAAATCCTATAAATAATCATTTTATTGCACAAACAATATGATGCTGGAAATTTTCCAAAACCTAAGGCATTTGGGGAACCCTCTCTTCTATCGACAGTCAAGAGAATACTCACTAATACTTATGTATATTGTTACTAGTAGTCGTGAGATATTGACCAACGTCCTAGTATCATTTACCAACCTTTTTTGGATAGCCTAATAGCATTTTATTTGCCCCAAGCAAGGAAAAGTTTAACACAAATGAGAATCTACTAAATCTTTGGGACCCTTATTGCATGGACATTTTTATATGCTACTACTATTGTTTACAACAATAACTAGAGCCTCATCAATTACATATCGAAGAAATTACTAATAAAAAGGAACACGATCATTGGCAAAAAATTCCACACTTTAACAGATTTTTCCAAATATTCACCATATTGATTATTGAAGGCTAATAATCGTTATTAACACGGAGACCAAAAAGCATACTAACACTTTGAAAAACTTGCCAAGTAATATCGTAAAAGTACCACAACCCATTACTAATGCGCACTTGAGATCACAAACTCATTTAGACATCAACCGCTCGGCTAATTAATGATTGACCATTCACCATACGACCTATAGAAAAAATTACCTTACTAGAACTACCAAACAATTACTATTTATTGCATTCGAGAACTTACTAAAATCTTATTTTAGCTATTTATTTCACGAACTTTCATAAGTTAAAAAAGCGATTTACATGGGCCAAGTCCTTCGTGGGCTCGCACCAAACATGGGCTAAAACTCGGCCCGACCCCTCGCAGTCTCTCTAGAGGCCTTTTTCTTTGAGTGGACATTGTTATATGCTACTACTATAGTTTACAAAAATAACTAGAGCATAATCACTAACGTATCTGAGAAGTTTTTAATTAGAAGGAACGCGATCATTGGTAAAAACATTCCAAATCTTAATAGATCTTTCCAAACATTCACCCCATTGATTATTGAAGGCTAATGACCGTTATTAACACGGAGACTAAAAAAGCATACTAACACATTGAAAAACAAACCGAGTAATACCATATGAGTAGCATGACCCGTTACTAATGCGCGTGTGAGAATATCTTCACGAGCTCATTCATACATTAACCGCTTAGCTAATAAATGACAAGCATTCAACATAAGAACCGAACCATACTGTACCGGCTTATTATGCTTAAATAACTTTCTACTATGTGCTGACCAACAAGTTTATGTTTTTTCCTTATAAATCCCTTGTAATAATCTGTTATAACTAAATGTATTTCGTAATCCCGTCCAAGTGGGCGTTGGCGTGGGCTCAAACCACCAGACCCATGTTCGAGTATAATCCTTCAACCAGAGGAGTTGAAATTAATTGGTTTGTCAATTATCGATCTAGTCTAAAAGTCCTATGTATAATCATTTTATTGCACCAACAATATGATGCTGGAAATTTTCCAAAACCTAACACTTGTGTATATTGTTAGTAGTAGTCATGAGATATTGACCAACGTCCTAGTGTTATTTACCAACCTTTTTTGGATAGCCTAATAAGCAATGAAAATTTAATCCATATGAGAATCTACTAAATCTTCGGGACCCTTATTGCATGGACATTTTTATATGCCACTACTATTGTTTACAAAAATAACTAGAGCCTCATCACCAATGTATCCGAGAAGTTTCTAATCGGAAGGAACACGATCATTGGTAAAAACATTGCAGACTTTAATAAATCTTTCCAAACATCCACCGCATTGATTATTGAAGGCTAACGATCGTTATTAGCACGGAGACTAAAAAAGCATACTAACACATTGAAAAACTTACCAAGTAATACCATAAAAGTAGCACGACCCGTTACTAACGCGCGCGTGAGAATATCTTCGCGAGCTCGTTCAGACATTAACGGCTCGGCTAATTAATGACAACCGTTCTCCATAATAACCGAACCGTACCGTACCGTATCGACCTATTGATAAAATTTACCTTACTAGAACTACCTAACAATTGCCATGCATTCGAGAACTTACCAAAATCTTATTTTAGCTATTAATTGCACGAGCTTTCATAGGTTAAAGATAGCAATTTACGTGGGCCAAGTCCTTCGTGGGCTCGCACCAAACATGGGCCAAAACCCGGCCCGACCCCTACGCCTCTTTCCGACGAGCGTCCACGACCAACTGACGTGCTAGCGCGTGAGATGCACATCGCCTCACCCTGCTCCAGCAGCAGGCGCACGCATCACCACCAACCCCCCTCCGAAAAGCGCGTCTGCCACGCGCCTTCCTCCGCCGGCCGCGGGACGGAGGGGCTCCCCCGAATCCCGCCCCGCGCGCCGGACAACCTCGGTCGCCATTGGCCCGCGGGCCCCACGCGCCGCGCGTTCGCGCTGACCCCCGCGCGCGCCCGCCCATCCGGAGCGCGTGTTGGCGTAATGCCGAACGCGCGAGCCCCAGACGCGGGGTTTGACTCGCGTGCGGCGCACGGGCGCGCGAGCACCGTCCACCTGTAAGATAAGGATAGAGATTGGAGAGTCTAGAGAGAGAAAGTGCTCTGCCCCCGCCCCCCCCCCAACCCCGAACTAGCAAGAGAGAGAAAGAGAGAGAGAAACTCGAAAGGTCCTCTCCGATAGAGAGAGAGAGAGAGACAGGGAGAGCGAGCGAGCGAGCGAGCGAGTCGAAGATCCGATCGGAGCTGAAGCGCGGCGGCGATTCCGCAGCCCTAATCCGGTGGTGGTTGCTGGTGGCGGCGGTGTGGTGGTTCTTCCCCGGTAAGCCCTAGATCGTCTCTGTTACTTCGCCGCGAGGCCGCGAGCGGAACCCTAGTCGTTCGTGGAGTTTCGCGATCTGCTGCCGCCGGGGGTAGGTCTCGTCGGCGGGATTAGGGTTTTGGAGGTCGTGCGAATGTCCTGAGCCGGGGACGATTTTCAGGGGCGGGGGGCTGATTTTGTGTCCATCTTCGTCGTATCTTGCGAGGGTTTTATTTTGGTTTTGATTAGGGTTTGTGGAGTTACATGTATGGCTTCGGGGCCTGTGGTTGGAGGTGATGACGGAGCGAGGGAGAAGCAGAGGTATGCGGAGAGCAAAGTCTACACGAGGAAATCATTCAAGGGACCGAAAAAGGACGCCCCTGCCAACAATACCAATACCGTCCCCAACGCCGACGCCGATGCTACGAACGCCCCTGCCGTGAACCCGGGCAACGATATCGAGAACCACGAAGATGGAAACGGGGAAAAGGACGTTCCTTCTCGAACTATTGCTTCCGAGGATGATAACTCCGCGCAGCAACCGCCTAGTTCCCGCGTGGACGTTGCCTCAGAAGATTCGGGTGCCAACCAGCAAGAACCTGCGGCGCCGAGTCCCCGAGAACCTCCTTCCGGTAACGGTTCCATGGTGACGACGGGTCTCGACGGTAAAGTTAAGATTAATTTATCTTCGCGGTCGAAGCAAGAAATCCGTGATCTGCGGAGGAAGCTTCAGAGCGAGCTTTATACGGTGAGGAACTTGGTGAAGAAGATTGAGGACAAAGAGGGACAGAATATCGGTTTCAGTAACTCCCGTGTGTTGGCGAGTGATGCAGTTGATAATGGTCCAAGAATGGTTCACTCTGAGGTGGGCTCGGTTGGAGTTACTCCTCGTGAGAATCGGGCTTTGAATCAGCTGAGCATATCTGTTTTCGAGAATAGTCAGGGGATGACCGATAGTTTGGAGAAGGAGAAGAGGACACCAAAGGCTAACCAGTTCTACAGGAATTCTGAGTTCTTGCTTGCAAAGGATAAGTTTCCACCTGCTGAGAGCAACAAGAAGTCAAAAACGAATGGGAAGAAGAAAGGTGGGGAGGTAAGAAGTGGGTTGGGGATGGGAACTAAATTCTTCAAGAGTTGCAGCTCTTTGCTCGACAAGTTAATGAAACATGAATATGGATGGGTGTTTAACACTCCAGTTGATGTAAAGGGCCTCGGTTTGCATGATTACTATAGCATCATAAAGCATCCAATGGACTTGGGTTCTGTGAAGACAAGGCTGAACCGGAACTGGTACAAGTCGCCGAAAGAATTTGCTGAGGATGTTAGACTTACGTTCCGTAATGCCATGACATATAACCCCGAAGGGCAAGATGTTCATGTCATGGCTGAGATTCTGTACAAGATATTTGAGGATAGATGGGCCATTATAGAGTCAGATTACAATCGTGAAATGCGGTTTGCATTAGACTACGACATGGGTCTTCTTACACCAACATCAAGAAAGGCATTTCCTCGGCCCCCTCCACTAGATATGAGAAGGTTATTAGATAGGTCTGAATCTATGACGCATCCGTCTGATATGAGGTCGAAACCATTTAGTGTCACTCCTTCTGGTAGGACACCTGCACCTAAAAAGCCCAAGGCAAAGGATCCTCATAAAAGGGATATGACATATGATGAGAAGCAGAAACTTAGTACAAATCTCCAGAATTTGCCTTCTGACAAGCTGGATAACATAGTGCAGATCATCAAGAAGAGAAATTCGTCTCTTTTTCAACATGATGATGAAATTGAGGTGGACATTGACAGTGTTGACACTGAGACTTTGTGGGAGCTTGATAGGTTTGTCACAAACTATAAGAAGAGTTTAAGCAAGAATAAAAGAAAAGCTGAACTTGCCATGCAGGCCAGGGCAGAAGCACAGCAGAATGTTTCTGATAGGGTATGTGACTTCTCTCTCTCTCTCTCTCTCTCTCTCTCTCTCTCTCTCTCTCTCTCTCTGGTTCCTTTCTAATTCACACTTTGGTTGAGTCATTTCAGGATCAGGCCACTGTTGTGGTAGAGGCACCAAAAGAAGCTGACACAGGTATTGTTTAGGAGAGTAGTATTAACTACTGTTAATTTGTCAAATCACGTTAAGTTGCAAATTTCTATTGTTTGCAGGTCAGAAGATTGTTACGTCCTTGCAGCCTGTTCAATCGGAAGGACATGGACCTAACTCAAGTAGGTCAAGCAGTTCAAACTCCTCTAGCAGTGATTCTGGTTCATCCTCAAGTGGTAATGACAATGTTTGACTTGAATTGCTGCGAAGAACTCATTTCTTCCAAAAATTAAGGATAGTGCTAGTAACATGTTATTGATGTTAAGTTGTTCTATCTCTTATTCAGATTCAGATAGTGACAGTTCCTCAGCTTCAGGATCTGAAGCAGGGCATTCACCAAGGACCTGAATATGTTTGTTCAGGTATCAAGTTTGACATCCAGAATTGAAGTGGCGGCATTACTTACTTGTTTCACTCACTGGTCATCTTTATTTGGCGAATCAATATGTTATGTGTCATGTAGTAGTGTATTTGCTTTGCTGTGGAGCCTTTTTTGGTACTGCATTTCATTATGCAGCAGAACTCTCGTTAATTCTTATGATATAACATGTCAACCAACAAGACAGTAGGTGTCCCTGATAATTGGTGGACCATCTATGTATGCTCCACCCATACTTGTCTCTGCATAATTTTCGGCCCTTCTTCTTGTCGTTTGTTCGCTTCGTGAGTTACATGAATTTCAGATCTAGTAGGTGGACTAAGTCTCACACATTGTTGCCCATTGTCGATACAGCATGAAAAGGACTGTTTTTGCTGCAGGGCATGAATTTAGTAGCTGTAATGACATGAGAAGTATCAGTGTCTGGATATCTACTGCACTTCTTTTTCATGAAGCAATTTAAAGAATGCTTTGTTGTTAAATAAAAAAGAATTGTGTTTGTGTAGCCAAATCGATATATGTATTGCTCATATGACATTTGGGAACCGAGTAAAAAATAAGAATTAGAAGAAGAAAACTCGTGTACGAGAAGTTTTGCTTATCGGCCCCTCAATTTGGTTGAGATCGTAGTACCTTCTATTGTCAACAATGTATTGTTTTGAAACACAGCATATTTTTGTGTCCAACTCTAGCAGTCCGTATCAATATAGATGACAAGTCGATGGGTGAAAACCCAGACATATGCAGCTAAAAATAGATATGTTCTTGCCAATGAAAATGGGGCGGGAATGGTAAAAGCTGGGAAATAGGAGAGTTAGATATACTTTTTAGAGGAAGCTTTAAATAGTGAAGAGCTTGTTATTGTTGATGTTTGTTCATTCATAAATTGTACTTGTTTATACTTTTATGTTTACAGAATATGTCACAAGTTCACATTTGCTAGATTGATGGTTTTTCACTGAATCTAGTTTAACATATTTTTCACCTTTTCTTGATTGCGTATTGTAACATTTTGTCACTATTAAAAGTCACCACTAGCCAGATAGGCATACGGTTTGGTTCTGGTGTTCTGCTGCCTAGGCCCTGGAAATGTTAGGTTGATTGAGGTTGCTCCTCTTAGTTTGTCAGAGTGAAAACTGCTTGACTAAGTAGAAACACCCAGGCACACAAGGCAGTTACCTTCTACTGGCGTAATTGAGTTGATATCCTAGTTTCTGTTTCAGTAAGTCGTGTAGATGTCAACTGCTTTCTCTAAATTATTCGAGTTGACTTTGTATTCTTAAAGCCTAGTTGACTTTGCAGAAGTAATGCATGTTTGTTGAGGTCCTTTTACTCCGTGTTCTCCCCTATATTGTTCATTACATATGGTGTGCAAGACGAATTTATTTAATATACAATGGAGTGGTGATTTTGCAGTGATGATAAATGACTGAGGAGTAACTGATATTATTTTTTTGTCATGTGACAGATCGTAGGAACTTAGATAGGCGCAATTTACTGGGCAACAAGACATGATGCTTGGGAAATATATGGAAATCATACACTCTGCAAAGGAGTGAGATTGTTGCTTGCCGTTTGACCTTATGGTCAAGAATTTGTACAATATAGGATAGGCTATGGTGACATTAGATAGGTTTTTCTTTTTGTGGTAGTACATGTACATTGCTAACTATTGTTGCTGGGTCTTGCTGGACCCTGTGACATGTTTGAAGCTTCTGCTCCTCTAGATTCAGGATTCTTTTGTGTATACAGAAAATTGTGACCCTAGTTCCTGAAGTAACGATTGCTTCGTAATTGCTTCACAATTATTTCTCTTACTAAGGTTGCTGCAGCCTGCATGGAATAACTTCAAAAGGTTAGATAATAGTTGTCGCTCACACCAGTGGAATCGGAATGCTTTCGCAAACTTTTTGCGTCTGCCGGTTTGATTGGTGTTGTAAACCCCATTTTGGCCTGCTTACGCCCCCTTCTCTTTTTGCAGAAATTTATCTGCCGTTCAGGTGACGCAAGAAATTATGTAGCCTTTGCCCTTTAATCGAAGTGGAATTGAAGATCCAAGGGCAAGAGGATCCAAAGGGCTTTTCGAGTTGTTTTGGCCGAATAACTCCTTACGGGCTCTGATATTTGTCTCCACCGTTGGTTTTATTAGGAACTGATTCTTCTATGTCAACTCTTAGATAAGAATGATCAGTCAGAGAAGTCCAGTAATTTGGCCATAATGTGCAGCTTTACACCTTGGGTGATACACTACTTGATTGTGGCGATCGCAGCACTTGGTTGGCTTTTGTTGAAACTTGGAGAGAACTGTGAACATTAATTTCATCGATGTCTAAAGATATAGACTAATTGATCAGTTAGATCATGATATTGGAATGATCCTGGCATGGTGACTTCTCTTAGGCGCATATTCCTCGTATTCTGATTGTAGCCTGGCTGCTCGGTTCTGGGTTGCTTGACCCTACGCCATCACCATCATAGTTTGTCCTGATTGACACAAGCTGAAGAAGAGAAATCCGACGCTCGAGGATTCTATGCATAGCGGAACTGACAATTGTTGTGAATAGCAATCATCGACATTTTGAGGTGGTCATTTCTCAATTCAATTGTCCTCTTCTTAGGACCAAATGGAAAAGGGAGCCATAACATTCTCTGCGCATTAACCATTTCGATATTAGATTTAAACTAGCAATTGCCCATATGTTCTCTTCCTCCTTGTGTCCTGGAAGGCCACCTCCCTCATAAATCACTCGTCACACAACCTCGTCGTCGCAAGACAATACATAGGATGATTGTTGAAAGTTGCGAAACTTGATTTATGGGAATGATATTAATATCGGACCGTGTTAACTGATGGTGTTAGACGCGTCCAGCTACCATTTCTTGTCTAGTCTTGTTTCCCTTTTGAGTTTTTTCCAAGAACGCAAGTCAAAACAGTGCCTAATGAGTAAAACACAGTTCCTAAGTCCCAGACTCCTCCATTCCATGTTTTTCAATGGTTGGGATTCCGATTCACGAAGAATTAAATGGCTAATATCCTCTCTACACACGAAGTTCTCCACTTGGAATGTAGATAGGGATAGGTTAGTGAGAATTTTTAGCCGATGTCAAAGTACAAGGATTTTGTCTGTGGATATATCAACGGACAAGAGATTGATGATTGAACGCCATATAGATAGGCATAGTCTGCAATCACCAATTTTCTCCACGCATGATTGCAATTCTTCACCAAGAGTCCCCTTATTGTATTATCAACTATCTTGACACAGCTCGCAAACCCCGCCCTAGTAGAAATTAGGATAGATGTCCCGGACCTAACTCTCTGCAGTCAATCAGGCACTTAGCTTGCCTGGGTTCAAGAGATTCATCTCCGGCCACGACAACGTCGAATGGTTGGAGGATCACGGGATCAAGACTCATCATCGGATGAATCATCGTCCTTCTCATGATCCTCCAGCTGCCATGAGCCGTCCTCGTTCTGAACCATCCCTTTGTTCTTCATCACCCACCACGAGTCTGGCACCAGATACTCGTCCCTAAGGAACGTATGGTGCTTGTTCACCAGCGCCACGTCCCTCTTCACTTCCAGCTTGAATCCTCCTTTCTTCCCTTGCGTGCCTGCCACGCCGTGCAAATACCCCTCTACCGCATGCCAACTCGAAGTATTCCCAGGGTACTTCATGTACTTGGACAGTTGATTGTTGATCAGCAGCTCTTGTCCAAGGTCGGAGTAGTACCCTGCCACTGGGACCTTCGGGACTATGTCGGGCAAGTTGGTGATGCGCAGGAGACGCAGGCTTGGGATGGAGTTGGCGATATTGCAGAATTTGAGATTTCCCACGCGGGGGCTCGCAAAGGCAAAGGCAGTCACGGGGCAGGGTTGCTGTGATTGGATGACACACGGCTTGTTGTAGCCGTTCCAGGCAATGTCGACTGCGCTGAGCGATGCAAGCGACGCTCCTAGGCTGTGGCCTGTGATAGTTATGCTGATTTCCTCGTCCTTGTATTGGTCAACCAGCCGCTGCACTTCCGTCAGGACCTGGAATTTCGGATGAAGAAAACATCAGAAATCGCGACTGTGAGAGCAACGCCTAGAAACACAGTAGAGAAAACATGAGGTATAATGAGTTTTGCACCAAATTCTCTCTTCAATGCTCTGACAAGGACGACATTTACCTGGTCCCTGGCACTAGATTTATTGAACTCTGAGCGAGGATCATCCGAGGTATAGACGGAAAGGAACCCGCTGTGCACTTTAGGAATGATATTATCAGCATCATCTCCGGCTGCATCTGCAGCTGCGTCTGCATTGGAGTCTGTGTCCCCCAGTATCTTTGTAGCAGGCGTCAACGGAAAATTGAAATCGCTAGCCCATTCCAGGATCTGAATAGTACCTCTCCACGCAATCAATATATCCCTACGTCCGAGCGCGACCTTGCCTTCGTCAGTCGCCACCGCAACATACCCCATCCAGTTTGACTCCTTGTTCCAGGCCTCCCTGGACAGGGACCTCAGCAGAAAACATTCGCCGACCTTGATCGAAGACGTCGCGTACAAGTACTTGGTGGCAGTGTACTTGAAAGGGTTGGCGATCGACAGGCCAACCTTTGAGAACAGATCTTTCATGCCGTACCGGCTGTCGCCGGCGTACTTGGACTTGACCTGGTCATTGAAGGTGTCATAAGTCGCTGAGGCCCGCTCGCCATAGTGGATGATGTACCGCCTCAGGTCGAGGTCGAGAGGGTCCAGGAGGTTCTTCCAGTTGTTCTGCCCACTTAACTCCTTCCATCTCTCTGGTATTTTCTTAAACATTGGATTGAATCAAATCAATCCTCCTCCAACACTTAATCAGTCCCAAAAGCTCTTCAACTCGTTCCAAAAATTGATGGTTCATAGTCAAGTTCAGTTTATATGACAATCTGATAGGGTGTGCAAATCATGGTGGGTTGGCTGAAACATGAAACTTTGGTCAACCTAGGAATATGCGGATTGTTGTCGTTCACAGTTTTTTGGTGGGTTTCGTTGGAGCTTGGTGTTATCGCCATCATTTGTTTTGCATGATCACATCACCGAGACGATACCCAATTCTCATGGCTTCCCATTACAGTTTTGTCTCTATGCAACTATTAAGTCCAGATGCGTAGAGCTTGCAGTTTGTGCTGATGTGCTGTTTACCGTATATATAACTCGTATCAGTTCGTTCTCAACCCATTCGACATCATAAATCTTTACGGTACAAATTCAGAAGGGAATCATAGTAATAAAGTGCTAACTCCGATCAACATGTAAGTTTAGGTGTGGCGCTTATTACGTCATATTTAAGTTTCCTATCTACCACGTATCATGTTCGTACCATAGTAACTAATCAATCTCTAGAAGTGAAAGCACTATCCTGAAGCAATGCCTGTATTCTAATCCAAAAATACAGTAAGTACCCAACTAGACAGAGGGAACATACTAGTCATACTGATTGAGATGTGCCTTTAAACATCCATCCCCTGCCATTTGAAATCTCTCCGCCTTAGAAATTGACAGAGAGGCATTTTAGCTGAGGTGAATGCTACGAACCCCACTTAGCCATTCCAAAATCACAAGCATCTTGCAACTTCGTTTGAACGCTTCAAGAGTCCAAGAAAGCAAGGATTGAAAAGAGAAGGAAAATGGAAAATGTTCGTCTCTCTGCACACACACGTACATACACACATTTTACTATAATTGAGACGGGCTTCACATGTTGATGATGAGTTCTCTCACTGCTCAGGTCCCTGAGCATCATGCTCGGGTCGCTTGCCACTGTAGCCCAAGTCATACACTAGTGCGTTCTTCGGCTTGCCTGTGGGGTCCTTGCCCAAAACCATGTCCTTGGTCGACTGCGTGATCTCAACCAGCGTCTCTCCAATGGCTCCCAGTATCCCTCCCAATTTCCCCTGCTTTCCCTGCTCTTGCGTTCCATTGAACTCCAACTCCACGGTGCCTCGGTTTTCCTTGTCCTGGTACTCCTCCGGCTCCTGCGAGATCTCGTCCATCGTCTTGGTTCCTCTGTGGTTGCTCGCCCACGTGCCCTCCACAAATCGCAGTTCATTCGTACTCAGACCACAGTCAAGACATTGACCTAGTACAACAAATATATCTAAGTAGAATAAAAGAGGCACATCTTGCCGTGAATGGTCCTCGTGTCTTGCAGAATAAACGTGCATTATCGCAGCAAGATCTTGATTTTCATTTTGAAAGTCAGGTTTCAGTGATTTTGACCATGCTTCTACAAATCTAAACACGTGTGAACTCATTTGAAAACATGAATAATAATCAAAGTTCACTATAACCTATTGAAAATGGACAAAGTGTCAGTTACTTGGGTCAGTCACGGACCTATAAAATTCATCTCCATTAACTGCGGCTTAATGAAGCGAAAACAACAGTCCAGTAGAACCTAAAGTCTAATGCGATTTAAGGGACGGAAAGAAAAAGTAGTGTCTGCTGGAAGAGAGAGGCGGCGACACCTATATACCTATCATTCCATATACCTGCCGTTCTCGCTCCATCTGCTCCGTCTTCGCAGGCGTTGCCTCCTTCACTCTATCGCCGACCGCCCCGCGGCATCCTTGGCGGCCACCAAGGGCTTCGTGGCAATCTCCGCCGCCTTATGCCCTGCCTCCACCGTATAGTCCTTGGCCTTCGCGACCGTTTCCTTCACGGCCTCATAGCCCTCCTTGCTCTTCTCTGCCAAGTACTCGGTCGTCCCACTCGCCCTGAACCACCTTCTCCTTCACTTTCCCTTTCTTTTCACCACCACCGCCTCTCTTGGCCGGTTTCGACCGGCTTCTCCGCCATCTTGGAAGGGCTGTCGTGCTCCGTTTTGGCGTTGGTGGTGGTGGTTTCGCTTGGAGCGTCTTTGCCGCCGCCGACGGTGATGGCGGGGTCCTTGACCTTCCCGGCGAGGGACCCGTAGTGGCTGGTCATCTTGGGGACTAAGTCTCTCTCCACGTCGTTGTTGCCGATGTGGTCTGTCGGGTGGATCTGTTCAGAGGCCATTTGGTTTTTACTTTTTAGTAGTGACCCCTGTTTTGGGTTTGATCTTGCTTCGGTACTGGGTAGCGCTTTGTCTGCGAGAAGCAGACGGCGGCATGAGAGATTTGGCAGACGCACGCGTGTGCGAAGATGGAGGGGGGAGTTTTTGCCTTGGAGCTATTGGGCTTTCGACACGTGTGATGAGCTCGGACACGTCAGCACGGCCATCGCTCCGTTTATAGAATCATCACTGCCTTTCTTACTGAAGGTATTCAGCAACATGGTATTAAGCATTGGGCAGAAGTTCTTAAGCGGTTCCATCCTTTACCTCATTGGGCTAAAATCATGCCACTAGGGATGCCATCCACCATGGATGAGTACAAGTATAATTAGCTAGAACCACTAAATTTTTCCCAGACCCAAGGGAATTTAGAGAATCTTGTCCTGAAGACATGTGTCGACCGATTTTAACTCTAGGGAAAGTCCTAATCTCGACTCGAATCATGAGCCCATCAAAAAGTAAAGTAATCTTTCAAAGTTGGTGTGCCTACTTTAAAAAAATTAAAGTTGTACGATTTGTTGCTTTGTTGTATTATTGGGACTCCACCAAGATCTGGGCCAGGCAGGGCCTTGGGCAAGGGCCTGGCGACCCTTGTTGGCCACAATAAAAAGAAAGTAAAGAAGGAAAATAGAATAAAAGGGAAAAAAGAAAATAATAAATAAATAATTCAAAAAATATTTAAATATTTAGAAATTATCCACGTCAGCGCCGATCGTGCCACATAGAACGGCCGGCGTTTATGTTAGTGATTTTCAACTAGTATTAGCCAGAATGACTCAATTGGCAAATCATGAAAAAGGTATAATTTAGGAGTCAATTAACAAATTAAAATGTTTAAGAATCGATTAGCAAAAGTGTAATAGGTTTATCACTTCTTTGGTAATTTTTTTCTTTTTACTATGTAGAATTTAGTCAATTGACTTAAATAATATATTTAGTAAAAGAGCCGTGGAAAGAGCACCACCCTATTTGTGTAGGTAATAAATAATGCAAAAAATATTTATTCACGTTCCATTATTATATAAAACTTTATCCCGATGCATGTGGAAATAACCCTCATTGGGTAGGTTTGACGTTCCTTTGATCATCTTTAATTTCTTTGTCTTCTCATAATTGAAGTGCGGCTTCACCCCACTACACGATATTTGCCCATTCTAGGAAGATTGGAAAAAGATAGCCGCTACATTTTGGGTCACGGAATTGACAGCATTTTCCCGATTTTTTTTTTCTCTTATAGTTTCGAAGATTCGGTACTTGTACTTTGCAAAAGATATGGTGTCAAACCACATTTTTAGATATATTGAACATGGGATTAGAGATAATTAGGGAAACTCGAGTGGAAGGACTTGAAGTACCAACTATTAAAGATAATTAGGGATTAGAGATATTTTGATGATTATGTTATTTATTCATATCTCTCACGATTGCATATAAATTGCACGCATACGTTTGATAAAGGGTTATTCTTTTGTCCTTTAGTGCCATCACCATCTCCTTCGAAAAGATATAACCTAGGTATTTTTTTCTAGGATTTTGTGTGGTGACAAATGGCAAGCTTGCAATAGTGAGGATTTGGAAGCATCTTCCCTTCTCTGGTGGCTTTGCTCGTTGGCATCGTCATCCTCGCCGCTGTATACCCCATGCGCTATGGCGAGAAGCAGCCATCGATCTTGTCGGGAGAGATAGAGAGTCGCTCCTCTTGAACCCGTCTCGCACGCCCCCTATACAACCATCGATCTTGTCGGGAGAGATAGAGAGTCGCTCCTCTTGAACACGTCTCACACGCCCCTATACAAGGAGGGACAGCGCGAGTACATTTTGGGCCAACTGGCTTTCGGGAAGCTCAAGTGGAAGGATTTGAAGTACCAACTCTAAAAAATAGTAAGGGATTTTTTTAGGATAATATCTTTTGTTAGAGATATTTTGATAATTTTGTCTGTATATTTCAAGATTGCACGATATTGCACTCCCATGATTGTATATCATAATTGAGTTAACAGATATTTTTCGAACATTTAAATAAGGACTCTAAAAAGTAGGAATATTCTTTGATGAACATCAAACACTTTCCATTGTTTCAAATCGAATCTTTTTTTAGTATGTTACTACAGACACAATTTGAAAATCTGCCTAATAACCCTTTATCAAGCGAATTCATAGCATTTATTTACGAAATCGAACCAAATAGGTATCAAAGGTAAAGATGTTAAACATGAGCACGGGAAATGGTGAAGTTGCCCAATTGGGTGATCTTTTTGGGTGCATTGAAGTGATGTGTCCGCTTGACTTTTGGATGATAGTGAATAGGATTATAATCCGACAATTGAATTCTATTGGGCACCATTGCTGGTGGAATCGAATTATGACAATCTGGCAAACCATCGGGTAGCCGACCAAATCGTTCGAGTAAAGGCCACTGGAAAGCATGCAAGGCATTTGTCCGTCATGGACATCCTTGTCTTCGATTCCTATCTTTGGTGGAGGCAAGGACCCAAGATCAAAGGTTCGTTAGTATATATACATGTTGAGCTTATCCAGTATAGTAATTTTTCCAAAGTATCCGCATTTCATGCATCTTGGAAGTTCTAAATTTTGCAATTTGACCTCCAATTATCTAGTTGCTACTTTATGGAGGGAGAGAGAGGCAACTCTTTAGTTCATTCTCTATTTTAGTTTACTCGTTAAAATGGTCAATGACACCTTAAGTATTAAATTTTTGCTTAACATTTAATACCGTCACTAATTCCTAAAATGGGCTTAACATGGGCTTTTGATTAAGCACAATGCCAACTCCATGGTGATTCATTCTCCCATGGTATCAAAGTACAAAGTCATTGTAAATTTCTCAATTTAATGGCAGTTCAAGAATTACATTGAACAAACTATAAGAAATAAAATATACACTTTTAGGGACCACATAAGCATTTGCACATTAGATCAAAGTTTAAGGATCATTGTATCATTTTCCCTAATATAGAAAAAGGCTCCAAGGACACATTTTATGCACTATAAAGGAACGAATGACACTTTGAGAGAGAGAGAGAGAGGGGTTAAAAAATTAAAAGCTTGGACCTTGGCA